TGGCGATGTTTATGGCTGCCTTGTTGTCATAGTAAAGAGACATAGGATTATGAACAACAACTCCAAGCTCCCCTAGAAGATTTTTTAGCCAAAGGACTTCAGCCACCCCATGTGCCCATAGCTCTATATTCAGCTTCAGCACTTGACCTTGCTACCACACTTTGTTTCTTGCTTTTCCAGGTCACTAGGTTTCCTCCCACAAATGTGAAATACCCACTCGTGGACTTTCTGTCATCTACAACACCTGCCCAATCAGCATCTGTAAAGACTTCCACCTTTAGGTGATTATGTTTACTGAATAGTAGACCTGTTCCAGGATACTTTTTCAAGTATCTAAGAACTCTCTCTGCTGCCTCCATGTGTGGTTTCTTAGGAGAGTGCATGAATTGGCTTAGAACCCCAACTGAATAGGCAATTTCTGGACGGGTCATGGACAAATAAATCAGCTTTCCCACTAACCTTTGGAACTGTTTCACATCTTTCATAGGTTCACCATCACAGTCACCCAACTTGTGGTTAACATCCATGGGAGTATCTGCTGGCCTTGCACTTAATTTGCCTGTGTCCTGTAATAGATCAATGGTGTATTTCTTTTGAGAAATGAAGATACCATTTTATGAGCGGGCGACTTCAATTCCAAGGAAATACTTCAGGGGACCTAAATCTTTCACTTCAAATTTAGATGCAAGGAATTGTTTCAACTTTTGTATTCCTGAACTCCAATTTCCCGTAATGATGATATCATCCACATACACTATCAATACAACAACCTGTTCTTGACATCTCTTCACAAAGAGTGTATGATTAGACTGACATTGTTTGAAGCCCACCTGCTGAACTGCCATGTGAAACTTACTGAACCAATCTCTGGGAGATTGTTTCAAAACATAGAGAGACTTTCTCAGCTTGCACACCTAATTTCCACTTCCCTTGGCACAGAATCCAGGGGGTTGAACCATGTATACTTCTTCCTCTAAGTCACCCTTCAAAAAAGCATTCTTTATGTCCAGTTGATGCAATTCCTAGTCAAATTTAGCAACTAATGACAGGAGAACCCTAATTGAGTTCATCTTAGCTACTGGAGCAAAAGTCTCATCATAGTCAACCCCGTACACTTGAGTGTGCCCTTTGGCTACTAATCTTGCTTTGTACCTTTCAACTGTTCCGTCTGCCTTGTGTTTAACTGTAAACACCCACTTACACCCCACGGGGTCTTTCCCCTTTGGAAGATCCACCAATTCCCAAGTTTGATTTTTATGAAGAGCATTAATCTCCTCCTTCATGGCATTTGTCCATTCGGGGCATTGTAAGGCTTCTGCAACATTTCTGGGAACAGGGATGCAATCAATTGCGGATAGAAAGGCTCGGTATGAGGGGGAAATATGATCATAGGAGACAATTTGGGTAATGGGGTGTTTGGTAGTGCATGACCTGACTTCCTTTCTTTGAGCAATAGGAATGTCAAGGTCATCCACAGTAGGAGTAGGGGTATCAGTAGGTGCAACAGGGATTGGACTTACCTCCTGGGAGTCTAACGGTGTCGGTTTTGGCTGCTCCACATCCCTATCACATTGCTAATCTCTACGACGTGTACGTTGGAAGACACGAAAGGGAGCAAGATCCAGAATAGAAGGAAGAGAGACTTAGCATACCTAAACCTGCTTCTCCTCTTCCACACTACTACTCTCCCCTTGAGGAGAAGCAGGGAAGAATGGCTCAGACTCAAAGGACACATCCATAGACACAAAAAACTTATGACTAATGGGATCAAAGCATCGATTCCCTTTTTGAGAGGAGGGATACCCCAGAAAGATACAAGGAATGGACTGAGGGTCTAACTTACCTCGAGATAGAGACAAATCATGGATAAAGGCACGACAACCAAAAACTCTCATGGGAATGGAAAATAAAGGGGATTGAGGGAACAACAACTGATGAGGGGCCATGTAGTTCAGCATTTTAGAGGGCATGCGATTGATGGCATAAGCAGCTGCAAATATAGCATCCATCCAAAACCTTTTTGGAACATTCATGTGTAACATCATCCCGCRAGCTACCTCAAGGAGGTGTCTGTTTTTTCTTTCTGCAACACCATTTTTTTGTGGTGTTCTGGCGCATGAACTCCTATGAATAGATCCGTGGGAGGCAAAGAATTCATTGAGCTCACCATGGAAGTATTCTTTTGCATTGTCGGATTGTAAGATCTGTATGTCAACATGGAATTGCGTAAATACCATCATCTGGAAGTCTTTCACAATCTTTGGAACTTTGTCTCTACTACTCATAGGGAATACCCGTGTATAGCGAGAGTAGTCATCGATCAATGTGATAAAGTACTTATATCCATTCGCCCTCAGAGATTACAGTAGTAGGCCCCCATACATCAGAATACACAACATGAAAATGAACACTTGATCTTTTATTATTTGAGTGAAAAGTTGTTCTACATTGTTTGCTCAMYTRACACGTTTGACACTGGAACTCTGACATTGAACATGACTTAAATAAAACTGGAAACAATGACTTTACTATTTCAAAAGAAACATGACCTAACCGACTATGCCACAAAAAAAATTGACTGTTATTTGACTGACTATGTAACTCTGAGGATGACATTGAGAGATCAGCTTTGTTGTCGAGAATGTAGAGACCATCCACTAGGCTCCCTCTACCAATCATCCTCCCAGAAGTTAGATCCAGAAAAACACATGAACCAGAAAAAAGGTTACACTACAGTTTAAAGAGCTTGTGATACTACTAATTGAAAGCAAATTTATAGGAAGTTGAGGGACATGCAATACATAATTCAGGTTAAGGCCATGGGGAAGAGATATTGATCATTGGCCTGCAATG